GTCGTGAGTTCAAGCCCCACGTTAAAAAAAAAAGAAAAAAAGTACTGATTGTGAATCCTATGTTAACACCATACTTCAGATTCAAATTTTCCCCAGTTTTATTGAAAAATATTTGATATACATCACTGTATAAGTTCAAAGTGACAGTATGATGGGTTGATTTACATATATATTAAAAGATTACTACAATAGGTTCAGCCAACATCCATCTTCTACTACAGATACAACACAAAGAAGAAAAGAAAAAAGGCAAAAGAAAACCTTTCTCCTTGTGATGAGTACTCAGGATTCACTCTTAAGATTCACTCTTAATTTTCCAATATATCATATAATAGTGTGAGCTACAGTCACGTTGTACATTACATCTCTAGTATTTATAACTGGAAGTCTATCTTTTTTTGTTAAGTTTTTTTTTTTTTTTAAAGTAATCTCTGCACCCAATGTGGGGCTCAAACTCACAATTCCAGGATCAAGAGTCACATGCTCTTCTGGCTGAGCCAGCCAGGTGCCCCTTGGAAGTGTGTATCTTTTGACAACCTTCCTCCCATTTCTCCCTCCCCCAAGATTCAATTTTAAGTGAAAAACCAAGAGTATAAATGTCTACAATTATATAAAATTAAAAAAAATGCTAATACACTGAAAGACATGAAGGAAATATGCTAGAAGTTATGCTTGGGTGACGAGTGACATATTTCTCCTTGTTCTAATTCCCTAGATTTAATTTTTAAATTAAATAATTTTTATTGTGAAAATTATAATTTTTTATGTGAAAATAGCATGTAAAAATAGGCATGGGGGAGCCTGAATGGCTCAGTCGGTTAAGCATCTGCCTTCGGCTCAGGTCATGATCCTAGGGTCCTGGGATGGAGTTCTGCATCAGGCTCCCTGCTCAGCGGGGAGTCTGCTTCTCCCTCTGCCCCACCCCCACCCCGCTCTCGCTCTGTCTCGCAAAAATAAATAAATAAAATCTTTAAAAAAAAGGGCATGGACAAGTGGTTACTGACATAAAGACCAATGGCTTAAAGCAAATGGGATTTATAATAGAAAGCCTATAAAACAAGTTCTAGCAACCCTTTAATATGTGTGTGGAAAACTTATTCAACTCTACCAGTTAACTATTATCTCTATGTAACTCCCATACAGTGCTTCAAACCAGAGAAGTTTATTACCATTTCACCGCAGTTAAAAGACACAGCAATTCTGGCTGAGAACTTGCAATGTCAGGAAAATATTACCAGGAAATATGGAAAAATGGTACAATAGTGCTTAAGAGCAATGAGTTTAGAACCAGCCCTTCTTAGCTTGAGTTCCATCCCTGCACTCCACTTATCTGTATAACCATGAGCAAGCTACCTAACCCCTCTGTGCCTAAGCCTCATCACTTCTAAAACAGAATAATAAAGGATCCACCTCAAAAGATTTGGAGAGGATTAAATGAATAATAGATATAAACGGCCTAGAAGAATACCTGGCACACAATAACTACTCAAAAACTGCAAGTTATTATTTTACCTAGATCAGTGGTTCTACAGCAGGATCACTTTTACCCCCTAGAGGACAGTTGGCAATGTCTGGAGACATTTTTCGTTGTCACCACTGGGAGGGTGCTATTGGCATCTAGTTGGTGGAGGCCAGGGATGCCATTAAACATCTTGCTATTGCAAGACAGCAATAGCAGCCCCTCACAACAAAGAATTATCTGGCTCAGCCCAAAGTCTCAATAAATGCTGCAGCCAAGAGATATTGATCTAGATCACAGGTATACATCCCATGTGCACTAAACAGATACTCAATCCATGGAAAATAATCCAGACACAGAAGCAAACAGGCTATATGTACACTTTATAAAGTAATGAGACTCATTTTCAAGACATAATGGAAATAATGTTGAGACAACACTCTTTTCCTCATTCCTTACACCAAAATATAGTCCAGGGCCAAAGTTTTAAATGTAAAAAATAAAACCATAGATACAAAAAACACCATAAACATAAAAAAATTTCAACTGACAAACCAGAAAAAATATATGCAATATATATCACAGATGAAGGGCTATTGTTATCCTAACACATAAAGAACTTGTAAAATTTGGGGTGGAGAAAAATTCCAATAGAAAAATGAGCAAAAGACATAAACCGCCAATTCACAGATAAAGATATAAAATTGGCTCCCGATGGGGCACCTGGGTGGCTCAGTCAGTTAAGCTTCTGCCTTCAGCTCAGGTCATGATCCCAGGATCTCGGGATCAGTCCCACATCAGGCTCCTTGCTCAGAGGGGAGCCTGCTTCACTCTCTACCTACCACTCCCCCTGCTTGTGTGCATGTGTGTGCACGCTCTCTCCCTCTCTGACAAATAAATAAAATCTTCAAAAAAAAAGATTAAAATTGGTTCCTGAATATATGAAAAAATGTTCAATCTGAATAAAAAAAGGCACTGTAAAACAATCCTAAGATCTCATTCTACCCACTAGATAAGCACAAATTAAAAGTATAACAATGCATACATTCTGTTGACAAGGCTGCAGGCAAAAAGGCACGATCATGCATTGTTGATTGGAAGGCAATCTGATGCATCCCTAATGTGGGGCGGGGGACATCTATGTTTACCTTTTGACCCAGCAATCTCAAATCTCAGATTTTATCCTGAACACACACACAAGGGTACAAGCAATGGATTACAACTCACTGAATAAAACAGGAACCCAGGTGTACATGATAATATAAATAATTCATTAAACAGGGGAGAAAAGAAAGCTCTTCCTTACAGTAGAATGCCAACTACCAAGCTTGGAAGGAATGGTGGATATTAAAGAAACGCCATTTGGTTACCTCACAGGGGTGACTGATTCAGGCAGAAATAATGAATGCCAACCGTGGAGGTTTGACGAGTTACAGGATACTAGTGTAATCTTGGATTACCTCTCCACAAGATACTAATCAGTTACAAAAGGAAAAATGCCCCATTTTAAGTGCAGCTATCTGGCAGGTAACAATGTGACCAGGTGATCAAGGTTAGGATTCCCAGTGTTGGGATGGGTTGCAGCATATGTGTGCTTCCTGATATGAGTGAGAACACAGCATCATTTCTACGGTATTCCTGCCAAAAATGCACAGCGTGACTACACCAGACAGACCCACCCTGGGATTCATCCTACAGAATGCAAGTTATGTATTCCCTAAAACTGCCAGGGATATTAAAAGACAGGGAAATGCTTTAGAACGTGTAAATAGACAGGACAACATCCTATCTATAATTATCAGCAACTTGGGTACAGGAACTATGCCTGAGCCTTGTCTACAGCCCTGCAGTCTAGTGCATGGGTTTGCAAATTCTAGGTACAGGAACCACGCCACCATTAAACTTTCCAAGTCTGCCCAATGTCATCTAGAATTTTCGTCTTTTCAATAGTTTAGGTCATATTAATCGTTCTCCGCTAAATCTCCTAGCACAAGAGACGTGCAGTAAATAACTGACCCCGAGAGGGTTGCTTTGACAACACAGCGGAGGCGCCTAACTCTGACTCTGACTCTGGGAGTGGCAACGAAGCCTTTAGAGAAGAGCACCTTTGAAATAAGAGCTCCCTGAAAGGCGAGAATAGGCAGGAGAGAGCAGACACTCTAGGACACGGAGATGCACACACGGGAGTCAAGAAACAAATGCGGGTTGTCAGAAAAAACGCACGTGTTCCCAGCGCAAGACTTGCCAAGGGTTAGGGAACAGCAGGGTCCCGTGGCCAGGAGCCGGAAGGGCACCGCCCACTCCGGGGCCCCCCGCTCACCTCGCCCCGCAGCAGCCAGTCGCGGTGGTAGCGGAGTCGACCTTTGTCGGAACTGCGCAGTGCCTGCAGAGTCTCCCAGCAGCGACCCTCAGACGGCATGGCCCACCTGAGGGAGCTTTTCAGAGTCTCTGCTTGTGACAAAACTTGTCCTCGAATCAGCCGCCCGGAAACGGGCCCTAGCTTCCGCTTCCGGGGCGCGCACGCAGCCGCGCAGCGCAATCCTGCCCCTAACGGCTGCGTAGCCCCGCCTCCCGCGCCGAGCCCGCTCGCCCGCGCGCTTGTGCGTAGGGTTTGGTCCCTACCCTACTTCTTTTGCTTGCAGGTAGGATCGGGATCTTTTGAAGGCTGGAGTCTCTGGATTGCAGAAATCCCAGTATGTTTTGATGAGGATGTGGAGAAATTGGAACATTGCTGGTGGGCTCTAAAATGGGGCAACTCCTGTGGAAGACAGCCTGGCAGTTCCTCAAAAGGTTAGCGTTACCATTGACCCAGCACTACTCCTAAGTGTATATGTATATACCCAAAGAAATGAAATATCCATCCACATAAAAACTCGTAGAATGGGGGCGCCTGGGTGGCTCAGTCGTTAAGCGTCTGCCTTCCGCTCGGGTCATGGTCTCAGGGTCCTGGGATCGAGCCCCACATCAGGCTCCCTGCTCCGGGGGAGGCCTGCTTTTCCCTCTCCCACTCTCCCTGCTTGTGTTCCCTCTCTCGCTGTGTCTCTCTCTGTCAAATAAATAAATAAAATCTTAAAAAA